CACAGGCACAGGGAGTGCGACATCATTCTCTTCTCATGACCTTTTTCCCAGTAGCCATTTTGATATTTAATAGTAGGGTTAACAAAGGCATTACCAATAATAGTAATTAATGCTGCATTCCACTCAGGTCAAACAGAGTCAGGGCATGTTGGCTCACTAGAAAGGCTCTTTGACACTAAATGAATCTTAATCAGTATCACTGGCAACACCTGTGTTTACACTAGATACTAGGACTCATGCAGGGGGAAATAGCCATCAATAGTTGAGAGCCACCGAGTAATAAGTAAACTCAACTATAGTGCTGTGTGTGCTCTCTCCATGTGCCTGATACTGTTTTATACACATTTTTATTATTAGTTATTTTTATGTTTATTTTAGTATTTTGGTTGTAAGCACCTTGAAGTATTGTATTTTTTAATTATTATGTCTGCTATAATGCCATAATACATATATATATATATATATATATAAATACGTATATATGTGTATATACTTGATCCATGACAAAAACCTGTGTATACAAGCTTCTTGCAAAATGTAGTGAGGTGTATTATTCCAGATGACACTTTGCATGAAAAACCCAAACACTACATTTCAATTTAGCTTCCACCGTCAGTTAAGATAATCATTTATGCATCTCACACATTCACATGAAAAGAACAATGAAGAACTAATCTGGCTGCTCTGTTCTGTGCACTCAGCATCACTTGATCCTGTCATGTGTCTCCTTTAATTAATTAATTTATTTCCTGTCTGTAATGCAATTATAAAGTCACTTTAATCATTTGATTCCATATTCTGTTCACTTTTTATTAATATTTATTTATTTATTTATTAGCGCCCGAGCACTGACCGTGCGAAGGCCCTATTGTAATTTTATTTAGATTTCTAAAAAGTCAGATGTTTTATCACTGTTATAATGTGAGCAGACACCATCCAGCCAGCAGGGGGAGCCAGAGTCTCAAACACACAGTTAACTGCTGGCAGAGCCTCAAATTTACATTCCCGTAGTTCTTGGCAGTGTGTCAGTGTGTGTGTGTGTGTGTGTGTGAATAAAGAGGCAGAGTTACAGTAGTGAGGTTTTTACACTGAACCAGAGACAGACAGAGAGGAAACTGTGCAGATAAAATAAACAGAGAGGGGTGTTTGATTTTTTGTGTTCTCTGCTCTGTCTCTGTAAATCAAACGCACCTCAAAGGGGCTGAAGTGTTTGAAATGTCCTGTGGAATAATGTTCAGGTCATTGACAGTGTGTCCAGACACAGATACACTTCTCTGACTTACTCTTAAGCTTTCAGGTTTCTTTAGAGCTCAGTAATTAGCTGTAAACTGCGTTTTCTGATGTTAATATGAGGAGAAGAGAGTTGGCGTTTGGGATTGTTTGTGATGTGATTATATGGAAGGAAAACATATTTTTAATATCTTTTAGCTGAAACACTCTGAGCATAGGCACAATGTCTGTTAGCATGAGCTAAGACTTGTGTTAACCCTAAACTAAGGTTGGTTTCACACCTGTAGTTTGGTTTATTTGAGGTAAAATAACATAAATCTGGTCTGAAAAATAATAATAATATTACCAGGTTAGTCACTGTGTGGTCACTACGTTTCACTCACTTTTTATTGGAAAACTTCTGAATACAACTCTGGTTTAATTTCATTTCCCGACTGATCAGATTGGGAGATTGCTTACTCAGTGAAATTTCACTTTTTTGTGAAAATGAAGTAAAGTAAAAAAAATGGACAAAAACATGCTAATACCACCATTAGGCCAATTTTGGAACCAGTAAGACAATGAAAAGCCTTCAGGAGAGAAAGAGTTGTTTTGTCAGCTACAGGCTACATATCCGTGTCTATTACTGACCACATCCTGTAATTTAATGGTTAAAATGAAGTCTGGAATGATGAGTTAAATTACTGAGGAGAACAGTGAATATTTTATTCCCCACCTCCCCCTGTAATTTTTATTTTGCCTGAATGGGACTTTTGTCTCCTGTTAGTGCTGAGAAAACAGCTAAGATGCTAACATAGTTATTCCACTAGTAGTAGTAATAAGTTACTTTAATGGGTTTATGTAGCTCATTTTAAATGAGTTAAATCGACTGTATTAGTAATAAATATATTTGTATCTGCCAGGTTTGCAGCAACTTTTCCACCAGTTTGACACTCGAACAGCCTTCAACAGACCAGTCAAGCTAAAATGATACTTTCCATGTTAACATAGTTGTGGGGCTCCATGAGAGGTTAATTTCTTTAGCTGCCAAAGTCCCTTTTAATGACCCACATTAGCCCAAAACTGCTAACTGGAGATGATTTTCAACAATTACATTACATGAACTGCTGTAACAAATCTCCACAACTTTTACATTTCAGAGAGGAAACACTGAGGAGAATTTTCTGATGTTTCTATTCATAACGGATTCAGGAGGGAGCTGAACTCACAGCTCTGAGCCGCTGGTCCTCCTCCACTGAGAGGATGTTTACACATCACTGAGTGTGTGTGTGTGTGTGTCATCCGGGTTGAGCAGAGTCATGCATTTTTTCCATTACCCTCATCAAATCAATGTTAAACACTCCTCCTCCTCCATCTACTGTCCCTGTACAACCACAGAGTGTGTTTTGTGTGTGTCACCAAAAAAAGTCCAATCAATAAGCAGATAGAATGTTTGATCAGTAAGAACTGGGACAACCAGTCTGCCAGATGTGGTTTCCAGAAAAACTGCTGCTGATTTAAACCAGCTTGTTGTTATTTCACAGCTCAGCTTCATCTCTGTGAAAAAAAAAATGAATGAATGAATAACTGGTTCTCTGACTGTGTTTCTCCTCAGTGCTGCTCTAGGGTCACCAGCAGGTTCACATGTGTGAATTTCAGTTAAAACAATTATTGGATGGATTACCATAAAATTTGATGTAGACATTTATGTTCCCCCGCAGGATGATTTCCGTCTAGCTAGTGATTTATAACATAATACTTGTAACACTAACATCCCCATCAACCTGAGCTTTACTTTGTGTGTAATGCTGATTAGCAAATATAAGTATGGTACAAACAATTACCATGTTTGTCATCAGCATGTTAGCATAATCTTGTGAGCATGTTAGCATGCTGATGTTAGCATTTAGCCCAAAGTGCCTCTTTAGGTATAGCCTGACAAAGCTGCTAGCATGGCTGTAGACTCTCAGTCAAATGTAACTTCGAGAAAAAAAACTATTGTCTCATATTTGGCCTAACCCTAACCCTAACCCTAACGTGAACCAACACTGCTTTGTCACGCCCCTCTGCGTCTCATCTAGTGTCTGTTTGAGATGCCTTTTGACACTTGATTAACATTGAGAAATGGTCGCAGTTTGGCTAGGTGTAGGCAACAAACATACTTGGTTAAGTTTAGGAAAAGATCATGATTTGGGCTAAAATAAGTATGTTACGCAAGGCAAGTCACATAGGTAACGTTATGTAATCTAATAAGTCATAAATAAGTCAACATTGACTTTTGGTTTCACATTGGACACAAATCCAAGTCTCCTTGGTGAAAATCCTGTGTTTGTTTGACCCATCCATCACCCATCCATCCCAACTGCCTCCTTACACAGACTTTGTTGCTCTTTACACTACGTCGCCTGACGTGTACGGGTTACACTGGAGTTAGATGAAAGGCTGGTGTGTCTCATACAGACAGTAAAGGATAAGTTGTGGGTCTGTATGACACGCCAAAGGGCCATGACAAAACGCCAATATTTGACGCCCTGGGAATGAAGCTGCAATAACAGAGTTAATCAGGCCGAGTATGGTTCCCAGCAGACAGGGCTTGTATGCAGCCTGCGAGGCTAAACTCGGGGCAAAAAAGTCCACGTAACAGACACTGTCCCATCCATCAGACAAACACTCTGCCTGTTTTTTGTCAACCCCACAGAGGTGTCAGTATGCAACCCTGTCGTCATGACGACTGCTAAGTAAACTGCCTCTTCTTCCACTGTGGCTAACGGACCACAGGTCACCATGGCAACGGTAAACATCCAGGAGGCCCGGGGGTTGACGTGGCGACCTAAAAGTGTGCTTATGCGAAGAGGAACACAGAGGTTTTAATCCCTGCAGCTCCTGCAGTAAAGAGATTACAACTGAGAAAAACAAAACACATGAGAAGATCTAATTAGTAATTTTACATTAAATTAAACCCCAAATTGACTAATAATAGTCTAAATTTAATAAAAACACAAAGAAATGTTAGACTAACTTAGGGAAATACTTTAAAACTAAATAAAATATAAAAAGTAATATGAAAAACATGAGTCCTTGATTTCAGACAGAAATTAGGAAAAGCTGCTTCTTTTTTCTAACCGACAACTGTGGATTTGACTGAAATGACATCTGTCTGCTTTTTTTGGCATTTTGCTTTATTTGACAGTGACAGTAGACAGAAAGGCAGCAAAGGCCTTGGCCTACTTGAACCGGCACTGCTGCGGACTCAGTAAGGACTCAGCCTTGATACGTGGTAGGCGTTCTACCAGGCTGGTTTATTTTTAATGTTATTATAGTGTCTGGTAGCTATCTGATAACTCTGATATAGTATCATCCTGGACCGGCTTGAACAGAGCTTTTTGTAATGTAACCTGTAGTTCTCTGTAGATACGCTTACTATCAGCTTAGGAAGTAATGCTGGGCTACTACTAATATGTAGTTAGTTGGACACGTTAACATTAGCAGCTCACATTAGACCAGATAAATACACAGTTTAATCCATTCCTTTAAAAAGAAGACAAGAGCCTCCAAGCTGTTTATACTGAGAATCTCATGTGACTGGTTATGATTGGATAACCATGATTAGGCAATAAGTTCTTAAGGGGAGGGCTTACTGAGAGTTCAGTTGCAAATAAAAACAAAAACAAAATAAATAAAAAATGAACAAAAAGTTTAAAACAAATTGAATTAAATCAATATTAAATCCTATTGGTGGTCATCTGTATTTTTTGTTTGTAAAACATGAGTTTAAGAGGACTGTTCCTTTAAGAGACTTTATTCTGCACAGTGTTGAACTGACAACAGTAGAAACCTCAGGAGAACAGCACAGTGGACACAGTGGAAAATACATCCTGAACACCTATTCACACCGGACACACACACACACACACACACACACACACACACACTCATCCGACCTTTAACTCCTACAGTGATGATCCTTTTACAGTCAGTCTGTTGTTTTATATTTAGGTAATCTGGAGGAAAGTCACAAAAAAAATGAGACCAAATGGTCACAGAGGAAAATTAGTTGGTCACAGTGATCACAGCGACGCACGTAACTGTCCACTGACTCCGTTCACTGCTAATCGTTTTTGTTGTCAATCACCGCGGACAACATCGTCCACGATATTGCAACCAGAGAGCACTTCAACAAGTCAAATAAAGTCCAACCTGACGGTCGTGGAGGACAAGTGTCTTCAGAGGACGGCGAGGTCGTGGCAGCTCTTGGACCGCACTTTGACCGCCATGCGCTGGTTGTTGCGTGCTACCAGTCGGTCCAGGAAGCGCCGAGCCTTCTGGGTAATGCTCTCTTTGCGTTTGTAGATGGAGCGTCGGCGCTCCATGGCCTCGCTGCCGTCCCGACGGAGGCGGATTTGTCGGACCACACCCTCAAACAGCTCGGTGACATTGTGCTGCAAAGACGCCGACGTCTCGATGAACTTACAGTCAAACACCACCGCACATGCTCGGCCCTCTGGGAAAAAAAGACACATACAGGAAGAGAATAAATAATAGCATTAGCCAACTGTTACTATATTATTAACAACTTGTTGTATATCGACATGTGTTTGTACCCTCTGTGACCTTTGACCCCCACCTTCGACAGCAACTTCTCTGGACCGGACAAGGTCACTCTTGTTGCCCACTAGGATGATGGGAAGATTTTCAGCCTGGCGGGCACGTCGCAGCGTGATCCGGAGCTCCGAGGCAGAGTCGAAGCTGGAGCGGTCGGTGACAGAGTAAACGATGACGTAAGCACTCCCAACCTTCAGACAGTCATCCTGAGAGGAGCTGTCCTCCCCCTCCTGACAGGTAGAGAGACATGGACACGGAGAAGAAGAGAAAGCAACGTCATATTCTTCTTTAACTTCCTTTAGTCCTTTCTGTATCTGTATCTGTATCTGTATCTGTTAACCATATGAATTATCTGTATCTGTATCTGTACTCAAAATGGGCGGGGCTTAAACCAGATGTGGGTGGTGCTTAAACTGTAAGTGGGTGGGACTAACTGGAAGTTGTCAATTCAAGCCTGAAATTGATAAAGGTTGATCAGAAGTTGCCACATTCATTGCAAAGCTATTCAGGGAACAGCTTCAGTATTGAGCTTCAGAGCAACGTTTCTGATCACAAGATAACTATTTGGAGTTTTTAAATGAGGTTGGTATATTAATGATTCTAATTTATTGTGATGGCGTAACGGGAAGTTTGCCCTATTCACAAAGGAAAGTGAACTCTTTGCACTTTCTGAACACTTGTCAATGGTCGATCCAACTGTATGGAGACCCAACACTCACCCATTTATAAATAATTAAACTTTTATGCAAAGAAACAGCATGCATCATCCGAACTCTCACATACACTCAAAGATTTAAAAGTTTATCCAATTGGAAATAACAAAAGTTTGCCTGGTAAGTGGCATTTTGTGATCTCAATCACAAAATATTGTAAATATATAAATACTTTATCACAACAAATTATTTGGTATTTTATTTCATGACACTAACAGAATTAATCAAAGCATTAAAGGTCCAGTGTGTAGGATTTAGTGACATTTAGTTGTATTTGATGACCTGGGAATGAGGACAGGCTGTGAGGTGTGTCAGAGAAACTTGTAAAAAATGCCAAAGGCCCAATCTCCAGCCAGTGTTTGGTTTGTCTGTCCTGGGCTACTGTAGAAAAGTGCCAGTTCAACAGGTTGGACTCCATTGAAGGCACCTCGTGGCCTCTGTAAATAAAAACAGCTCATTGTACGATAAAAACATAACAATTCTTAAATTCGGGTGATTATACCCTAATGAAAACATATCTATGAATATTATATTCTATTTCTGCCAATAGATCCTCCTAAATGGTACACACCAGACCTTAAGTGTGATGAACATAAAACCCACAGCAGCCAAACTGTCCACACAGCTTAAAATCAGCCACATTAGGTCTCTTTGCAGGATGTCATGTACCCATAATCCTCTGCTTCAAAACAGACATTGAATGCTCCACAACTTCATCAACACACACACACACACACACACACACACACACCAGTTTGTCGTTCTCCCAGGTATCCATGACGATGAGCGTGGTTTCCTCTCCATCTACTGTCAATGTTCGCTCATATGTGTCCTCTGTAACAAAAAATAAACACATACGATAAACAACAAGACTCTGAATCTGCAGCCCTGTGATGCTTTGAGCTAAATGCTTACATGCCGACATTTAGCAGGTATAATATTTACAATGTTAATCACCCAGTTTAGCATGTTAGAATGCTAACACTTACCAGAACACACACTGAGGGTGATGGGAATAGTTTTGCAGGTATTTGGCCATAAACCAAAGTATTGGACACATTAGAAGCTGATAATGGTGCAGGGGATCAACCAGAGTTATTACATCTAAAAATTTGACACCATTTCATGGCAATCTTTCGAACAGTTGTCAATATCTTTCAGTCTGGACCAAAGTGGACAAGCATCTTCATCCTTAGACCCATGACCCGAGCATGGCTAAAAACAATAAACAACATGGAGGACCAATAACAAATTATATCTGTGATCATAAAGAGGAAAACAACCTGGTAAACAATGGTGACAATACACTATACAGCATCAGCTCTCTGAGCATACAACAACAACAAGAACAATTAAACTAAAGCAAAAAAGTGTAACCAGAGAATCAGCTCAGCAGACCTAAAAACAGCAGACAGGCTCTGCCCCCTCACACCATGTCAGACTATCACGGATCAATACAGGTTGTCAATCATGGCCTCAGGCCAATCAACACGTGACAAGAGCTGATCAATGATGTCAGGTCAGTCAAGGTTGTGATGTCGGAACAAAGACAGAGACAGAAACTGCGCACTGTGGAGGACTGAGATGGAGTATGAAAGCTACAACACAACAATAAAACAAGGTAGAAATCTTTAAAAGGGAAACTCCCATAATTACTTCTGTTACTTCCATAAAGGTGTTAGAAAATCTGTGCAGCAGAGGTCACAGGCTGAGTAGCACTAACCATGACCAGTAAAGTGATCTTAATGTGGAAAATCACTAGTGTTCATTCAATACATTCATGACTCTTAAAGGAAATGTTTGACATTTTGGTAACTATGCATATGCTACGTTAAAAGACATGATTAATATCACGCTCATGTTTATACACTAAACATGGATCCACCTACCAGCACCTCTGAAGCTCACTTATTAGCATATATCATGTTTGTTTAATTCATAAAAAAGTGTAAAAACAACAAATCACAGTTTTATTGAGGTGGTTATACACTCTATTTCTTGGTTGGGATCAGTTGCCCAGCAACCAGAAGGGATGGCAGGAAGCTACTAGAGGTACGTGAATATGTGATAATTAGTGAGCTTTAGAGGTACTTCAAGGTACATTAAAGGTTTACTAACTTAAGCCACAACAAGCTACCAGACCAAGAAAGGCTGTAACCCCCCTGAGTGTGTTAAACTAAGAATGAATTTTAGTGCATATATATTTGTTAAAAAAATTTGTAACTTCAGAAAACTGTTGTTAATTCTGACACCAGTGGTCGTTAAGTGAACTGCAATCAGTGTCCTGTTGCTCGCACTCGCACTCTGTACACAGTCCGTAGATGCGAGCATCATCCTGTGCATGGGCCTAAAGTGACGTGCCATTGACTGAGTGCTAGAAAATAAATTACAATCATATTTAGAATAACATTATTATCTGCAATGTTGTATTTGGACTATTGTCTTCATTAAACAAACTAGCTTGCTGTTTGCAAATCACCCCATCAGCCAAAACCATGACGCCAGCCAGCAAAGTAACCGGCAAGCGAGCCAGATCAGCCCCGGGAGTCTGGATGAAGCTAGCTGACAGTATTTTGCTACGTTAGCTTGTGTTGCACAGTATTGACACTGTACAGAGAGAGAAAGCTGTCTGTAGTGCAGTATCAATCACTTGAGTGAACGGGTTGTAACGTAACTTAAAAATGAGACCTTCCCCAACTTTCTCGATTGCCTGTGGACTGATTTATATGTTTGTATGTAGGGATGTGGGTCGGATTTTCTGCAAAAATTAAAAGGATGTGACATAAAAATAATATCTGAAATGCTTCAGAATCTGACATATTGAACCTTTAAAGTGAGAATATTCAGTTAAACTAATCAGACAATTAAATGTAACATCCCACCTCCAGGTTGTTCATCTTTCTCTGTGATACCGGCAAATATCCCAGCGAGGCTGGTCTTTCCGACACCGTGGTCACCTAGCAAGACCACCCTGTAAATACAGTCCGAGTCGCTCTGCGAGTCGTCCTCCGAGTCTGAACTCCACTGGGCGCGGTAGTGGAGTGACTTGTCTCCAGGGTGGTAGGACGCTGACTGTCCCAGAGGTGGGTGGCTGCGCTGGGGCTGCTCGGGATTGCGCTTGGTGCTGCTGGGGAGTCCAGGGTCTCGAGTCCAGGATGGGTGCTGGTAGAAGTGGGCGGGAGGAATCGGCGTGCTTCCTCGCCGCCGCAGGGGTTCCTTTTCTCTCTGCGTGTTGAGGGTCATGTTGTTATGAAAACGGCATCAGGACAGGACGGGCCTGAGGTAGGAGACAGGACAATTGAGGTTTCAGAATAAAGTCTGGTTCACTATGGTCTTTAAGATTCTTGAAAGGTCAAAAGGTCCAAACACAATGTTACTTTGGTGTGACGTAGAGAGCAGAAGGTTTATTTTCTGTCCATATCCTAAGAACTAACCCTAACCTTTTACAAGCAAAACTAACTTCTGCCAACCTCTAGTACTTTAACTTCTCACCTTGCTGCAGTGATGTAGACGTACACTTCAGGGTGTGTCAGTACACTCTGACATCAGAGGTGCAATAGACTGGAAAGTTTCAACCAAAGAGGGCAATGAAACACACAGTTAGCTCACAGGGTTTTCATGCCAAAAGTGCAACATTGTGCTGTATGTAGCCATTTTGGCCAAGTCTGTCTTACAAAAGAGATTCAGTATCTCAAGAGATCACTTGTTTAAATGAAATTTAAATAAATAAGAATGAGTCAAATGACTTGCAATGGAGAGAGGGGTTGTGCTCTGCTGATTTTCTGCCTGGTTTTAGGCTTAAAATGTACGTCACTTGCGTCCAGTGGGATTGTGGCATTGACGGAATTAGTTAGAAGACTAGAGGAAAGGTTTATTTTGTCATTTTGAGTTCTCTAACTCTACTCTTTGATCCTACAGGGACGTTAGGATAGAGGATGGGAATAGCACGGTATATTTATTATGATTGTTTATATTGTGATGTAGTCCGTAGACTCTTGTGTGTTTTGTTTTTGTGTAACTGGCCTCTAAACCTACTGCAAGGAGTTTTTAACTGGTTATGAAACAGTCACAATGTAATACTGATGTCTCTAATATGACCTATATATGCACACAAGACCATCAGTGAGAAGACTATACCGTATATAGTTTTTCGAGGTTGTCCACAGGGGCCGCCAGAATAATAACAAAAAATCTTTAATCGTTGCTGCTTTAAAGAGCAACCTAGGATCTCTTTTTTTTTTCATTAATTTTTAAAAATTTCTTAATAGGAGTGTGTGTCCTGGAGCAAAGTGAACTACTTTAGGTGCGTGGAGTAAAAGACTACTTAAATCCAGAAAACCCGGCTCAGTTTACTAACTCTTCATTTACCAGCTAGCTGATGCTAGTGCTAAATGACAGAGAGCTTGCTGTGGCACCAGCTGTGTTTAAGTTCAAACGTACCTAAGTTTGAACGGAGTTTGAGAGTTACTCTATAACTTAGTAAAACAAGGGACCATACAAGGTGGTCGCAATGTAGAGTTAAGATCAAATAGTTGAGAGAGACTGATGATAGAAAAGCCAGAGGAATTTATTTCTGATATTTCCTGTGACAGACCAAATCTTTTTACATGTATGATGACTACACTGAGCTTAGTATTGTGTTGTAAAGTTACTTGGACTAAACAAGAGTACAGTGTGATTTTATGCTAGTTTGCACATTATTGCATACATTCTGTTATAGGTCTCTTACAATGAACAATAGAGACGTGAACCAAAATATGTTGAAATGTAACTTACTAACTCAAAAACGAAAAAAAAAAAAAGATTAGAATATGAATATAAATAGGATTTATCAGCCGTCAACTTAAGTCCCAGGAGGAATTGTGGCTACTAGAAACCAAATGTACCCATGAAGACATTTAGCATGCATAAGAGAGCCCTGGCACACAAACAAACTTCCTACAATAAATAATTCAAGTATCTAAAGGTGCCAAGTACGACAGTCACTGAGGGTAAGGTCCAGTCTGGCCAGGTCAGAGCTCCTGCCTTTGGGACTATAGTTAGCGTACTAGATAGTTATTAACAGTAACAGCTTAAAAAAGTCTTACAAAATCCTTTATTAAATTTCTGGTTATTCATCCACAGCAGAACTACAAGCACCAGACATTGCAGGAGGTCAAAGGTCACAGGTCTCTCATGTACAATGTCACACAGCATATGACAAGTTGAAAAGAAGAGCAAAGTGAGATCAACAAATTACAAATAAAATGTGTGGAAAACCACATCTTCCTACATCACGTGATTGTTATTGCATGTAAAATGTCTAAAAACAGATGTGCACATATGTAAAGTTAACAAGCATTAAAGTATCTTTCACATGTGCTATTAATTGTGAAAATGATATTTCCACATGTAAAACATCGGAAAATCACATCACTGATGTAAATTAGTTTTTGGACGTTTCACAAGCCAGAGAATAATGTGTGAAAACATAAAGGTTCTTTGTAAGGCACAGCTGAAAACCCAAAGAAATAAAACCATCAGCAGAAAATAACATTCAGTAGATAGAGTAACTTACCGCACACCCCATGAACAGTCTTGTTTCCGTCCAGCCTCAGTAAACAACAGAACAGAACTGTACCCTGTCTCTGTGTCTCTCTCTCTCTGTCTCTGTCTGTGTAACAGTACCCCGGTGCCACAGTAACCCGCCTGGAAAAAAAAAAAGTTCCACAACAGCGTTAAAAATTCAGCAGTGGAATCACAGAGTTATCTACCTCCCTCTGTGTGTGTGTGTATCAGAGTGACAGCAGAGGAGAAACAGATAACTGAGGAGGGAGAGAGTGTCTGTGAGTGAGTGTGAGTGTGTGTCTGTGAGTGTGTCTGTTAGTATGTGTGTGTGTGTGCTGTTTTATCAGTGTGGAGGTTGAGTTGGTTTAGGAAACATTTTGGTCACTTCCTGTTGGACCCAAAAGACAAAGTTTGGGTGCATGAAACTGTTCAGTCAGGATGTACAAAAATTTTATATAATAAAATCGATTTAATTCAGATTAAAGGTGGACTTTATAGTCATCAACATAAACCTCCAAAATACAGAAAACAACTAGTAGGCTGATGAAAGACTACTGAAAAAGATTAACCATTAAAGAAGTTTACAAGCTAGCTGATGAAGCCAGTCTAGCCTACGAAGGAACTGCAACCTGTTGCGGTTGTGTGTAAGTTTAAACTTATTCCTAGTTATAATATAAATTATTACTAAGTTGTGACTTATGCATTACTAAAATAAGAGCTCCTAAAGGGGTGTAAATCATAAAATGTGGTTTTCAGCATATTTCTTTTATTAATTGTAACCATATTTGTGACACAGTAATCAAGTAGATATCTAATTTGTTAATATACTTACTACGATGTGTTGCCAAGTGACTCATTCCAGCCAGATAGTTAATGTGCACGGTAACCATGATGGTGGAACTCTATCTTGATTGTTAACTGGCCACTTGCCTTAGTTATGACTTTACGTCCAAACTAGTTAGGTTATGTCCCAGGTAATCGTAGTGCAACTAATTTTAGAAGCTGATGTAGTTACAAACTAAGCCTCTAGTGTTGACTTCACACCCTCACTTAGGAGAGAACATAGCTGGTGCAACGCAGTCAAGTTTACTAACTAGCTAGCTGTTTCGTTTTATATCTCCAGAGGGAGCTGGTCCTCTTCTATGGAGTCGGCCATGTTGAGCCTCCATGTTATTACAGTACAGGCATTTCAGGCTCATTTCACAGCCACCGTAGATTGTCCTTCATGCTTGGAAGTGGAGGGTGAGGCAAGGGAGTTACAATCTGCAACTACACAGCTAGATGCCACTAAATCCTACACACTGGTGGTTTAAGGCAAGGTTAAGTTCACTATGCTGGGAGGGTCCATTAAGCTTGACCCATGCTAGGGACTAAAAGTCAGAATATCTTAGCCTCTGCTGCACAGATTTTGACCATTTGTTTAATGTTAATACTCCAATTTTATGGAAGTGACATACTTACTATGGAAGCCCTGTAGGCCTACTCATATCTCTAATTTCTAAGGTATTGAGTCCGCATCATGAGTCAGTCAACATATGAATTTTACCTCAGAATCTGGATTTATTATAATAAATATATATATATTATTAATCTTAACTTTTTATAAGCTACTTTTCTTCTGGCAGAGATGGGTGTAAAGTGAATGGGCTGACATGGAAAATTTGATTAAAGAGAAAAACACACCACTTCCTCTTTGTCACAATGAGTGCTCTTTCTGAAACTCAACACATCACAGATGTTTAGATTTTATCCACCCCCTCAGTTTAAAAGTTTAAAATTTCAGAGGAGTTTCCTCCCAGATCCCCACCCAATCCAGTGAGGCGTTCAGTTACCAGCACAGAAGCCAATCACTGGTCATCAACCTCTTTATCAGTCCAACCAGCTGCTTGGAGCTCCATCAGCAACTTCATCACTCCCTCTCGAGTCAAGTCAAGATTTTATTTACATAATCTAATGTAATGTTGCATAATCTCAAATGTCAATTTGCCTGAGTGGGCTTTATGATCTGTACTCTGTCCTTAAACACCCTGAAACCAGAAAAAAAAACTCAAAATAAACCTCAGGAAGAGCAACATTGGAGGGACCCCTCTAGCCCGGACAGACAGACATGCATTAGATGTCACATGTACAGAACAGACCAACAGAATCAGTGTATGCAAATTATGATGATAAAATTTCTGATATATTTAGATTCAGAAATATATGTAAAGACTGTGGCTCATGTAGGACAACGAGCAACTTTAGGCCATATGTTTCCTCTAGCTCCTCTCCACCATGGAGACCTAGAAGAGGACAGGCCACACAGAGGAAGAAAGAAAGAGAAGGGACACTCACACAGCTCGGAGGCTTGTGGGAACAGAAAAAGGAAAGAGAAATGTCTCTTGTCTCTGAGGATCAGCTGAGTTCAGATAGTGTCTTTGTTCATTTTTAGTAGCTTTAAAAACAAATTTATTTCTCCTATTACATGATTTTGTTTTACATATATACATACATACATTTTACATTTACATATTTTTTTGGTACTCTTATACTTTATATCCTCTGATACTTTTACATTGTTGGTATTATATCTCTGTCTTCATTCAGTTTCCTGTTTTTTCATCTAAAACTATTCCTGCTATAATTTGTTAATTTTTTGGCTGCTATGAGTTTATTATGTATTCAGTTATACGTCTTTCCTGCTAGTTTAGATAAAAACATGAATATTAAGAAAATTAAAAGTCCAGAATCTATGCAAATGTTTTACCATAAATGATTTCTTAAACAGACATCTTCAACTTTGAAATTGAATATGTGTAGCAATTGTGTACATGTAGTAGACCTACTGTAGCAGTAGTTGTATTATGTGGACTATTGACTGCTGCTGCCCCCACATGGTTAATGGAGGTATGTATCACTACACTGCTGCAACAGTTCAGTTGAATAATTTTTTATTACTGATACATACATTATGTGCACATGCTTCTATGTGTACCATTTATGTACTCATCAGTTGACAAACGATTATTTTTCAGGCTCTTCAGTTGCATTTCTGTTCTGAAATCACTGATTGTGTCATTGACCCGAGAATAACATAAAATTCAGACTAACACTATCACAACATGACTAACAGGTTAACTATGAAAATCACCATAACTTGATAAAATATGACACAATATTTTATGTTTGGTGGCAGACAGATTTTCAACTTTATATTCAGTATTTAATAAACATAATGAGAAGTCAGTCAGTGTGTATTTAAATGTTATTTATATTTAAATAAAAGTCCTTTATCCTCACAGTTGGTTCCTTTATTTCTCTCTAAAATTGTGATTCATCATTTTGCTTCTTCTCCCAGTAGGAACTGCAAGAGGCACATTAAGAGGAGAGAGAGGCATGCTGGGTTGCATCCGACTGCTGAGGGCCGAGGTTGTCGGTTTGATCCTGATTGATGGCAGGAGGAGAAGTTGGAGGACAGGAAGGATGAGTGACTGGAGTGGAGGACATCAATGCAAAATTAATTAGACCAAAATAACTGATATGAATTAAATGCAGTAATAAAGAAATCATTTTAAATCAAATACACTATCTATTATTATAGGCTACTGTTTTACTATATTTCTGTATGCACATATTTGGGATTTACGTAAACATGTTAGTTTAGATCCATACAGGCTTTTGAAGACTTTATTCTCACCTGGAGAAAGACTTGCAGCAATGATCCGCTTCCACACTTTGTTATGAAAAGCGTTCACCGCTGCAGGAGAGAAACAAATCAAGCAGATGGCAAGAAAATGTAAAAGTCAAGCCAGTTTAATTTCTGCAGCTCAAAATCAACACATAATCCACATAAATCCTTTTAACAGGAAAAAAATAGAGAAACAGAGAAAAAAGAGTTTTGTATTTTGTCACCTCACACTTTGTTATCCATTTTCATGCTTTGAAACTTTAAAATATTCAGCGTGCCTCTATATTTACTGACAACTTTGACTCCTTCCATAAACCAGTTTTAATTAAAGGACCCTCTGTGTGGGATTTAGTATTTATAGAGTTGCAGATGTAAATACACAAGTAGGAGAAACTACGGTAGCTGCAAAACTCGCAAAAAATGCAAAACGCCCCCATCTAGAAGCCAGTGTTTGGTTTCTGGGTTAAGTTAGAAACATCACGGCCTTCGCAATAAGAGGACCCGATTTCTCTGTAGATAAAAGTCCCATTCTAAGATAACAAAAACACAACAATTCTTATTTTAAGGTGATTATACACTAATTAATAGCCTACATTATATTCCATTTTTGCCAATAGATTCTGGACCTTTAAACCAACAATTTGACTTATTTTAGCGCTTCAACTCCTTTCAGTCCTTTTTTAAAGTGCTCTTCAACCCCTTTTAGTCCTTGTAGTGTTTTCATCTAAAATTACTCCATCTAACGCTTCAATTTCTTTCAGTGTTTCTCTTTCAGTTGACACCTCAACTCTTCTCAGTGCTTGCTTCAAATGACTCTTAAACTCCTTTCAGTCCTTGCACTTTAAAGGGGACCTGTTACGCTTTTTCTTTTTTATTCTTTTTTCATGTTATAAGGTCACATATTGATATTAAACGAGGCCAAACTCATCTAATAATAATCTAATAATAAGGTAAACATATGTATAAGTATAAAACAGGATGAACTTAGAGGCTGCGTGAAGGGCCAGTATAAGATAAAAAGGATGTTTTTAAAGAGTGAATCATACAAAGCTACTCTAGTGGAGCCTCAGACTAAGCTGGAAATAAGCCTAAATAGGGCAACTTTAACAGATTTTAAAATTAATTTCAGTATTTCCTGTTAAACTGACACACACTTTAATTTCTTTCAACACTTTAAACCTCATTTGACAATTTTGTTGGTGCTTCAGCTTAAAGAACATCTACTACCTCTCCTGGGAAGAGAAGCTGCTGTTGAATCTTCTTCTTCAAGGTCCTCTCCAGGTTCAGCTCCGGGTTTGTCTTCAAATTCATCTCCAGATGCTGGTCCAGGTTCCACCTGGAGAAAGACTCTGTCTAGCAGACGGTCCAGCAGCTGGTTGGCATGATCTGGATCTGTTCTAATGGTCAGGATATGGGGGGGTCGTCCTGCTGAGACCTTCAGCTCTGTAAGGTTTCTGAAAAATTAGGACCCAATGTGAATAAAAAGGACTTTAAGATTAACTTTAATGCCGCTTTTTTAAGCTGATGTCTGTATGAAGCAGCTGTGGGTTCTTACCTGCTTTTGCTTTGTCTGAGGATCCAGTAAAGAACCAGTATAACCAGCAGTACCAGCAGCAGAACAACCAGGGACACGAAGAAGAGTTCAGTGGTCAACATCTGGGTCATCATCACACTGATAGCCGAACAGGGGGCAGCAATGGGTTCTGCATCTCAACACTACGCACCAGAAAATTATATTACCACGAGGTCCATTTAGTAGCTGTTCTGGAGCTATTGATTGTACAATCCAATCTCCCTCAGAAGATGGAGTCTGAACCTTAACTTTTAAGTTACCATGGATAGAGATAACATAAAATATAGGTTGTTCAAATGTACAGTGTGAGCATGTGAGAAGAGTGAGATTTTATGTCTATTCTATGCCATGAAAGTGCCAAATGATGCGTTTTTCCACAGAACTGCATAAAAATGAAAGTAATATAGATGGAAAAGTAATGATATTCTGTAAGAAATAACTGTGTGTGAGATGTTGTGCATTGCAATCATCTACATGCTATATCTATGATGTTCTGTTAATAAGGCATATAAATTATCCAAAATTATAGTAATATAATAATAATAAGACAAACTAACAAATTGTTTCATACAAACAAAGACATTCACAAGAGGGGACACAAAATTATGAATTTGTCATTGATAGTGTTTTAGTTTAGTTTATAACTCTTTTTTTAAGGGAGTCTCTGGAGAACTAGTCTCAATGAGAATGCATTAAAATTATACTAGATGTAAACGCAATTATTATCCAGATAACGTGTAACCTGTTTAATACCAGGTGTAAAAGGGCTTAATAGTCACAGTGATACAATTAACTGTCATTGTAAAACATATGTTTAACTTACCTGCCTCTCCTGTTGGGATCCAGTAGTTTGAAGAAAATCAAATGGTTAAACTGTCTGTTATTCTGAAAAAGTTGAAAGAAAACATTCTGTTTGAATTTCCTGAACCAATCAGAATTGTCAAAAGGCTGGGTGTCACTGAACTGGTCATCCTTTCAATTAAATATTCTGTCTCTGGAAGACAGAAAACCATCTTCAAGTATCTTAAAGAGTAACTTCACAATAAATCCACTGCTTTAAGTAGATCATGTACAGTCTGTTTATTATACTATCCAGTATAGTATACAGTTAACCGAACCACAATTGTTTGCCTTTTCCAGGGAAAATCCAGTTACTCTGTCCTCTACACCAAAAACAAGACAACATCATGTTCACTGATCTGGGCCACACCCTCCTTTATAGATGAGACATGAGACACATGAGATCAGAAATGAACTGATTGTCAAGTTTAATTCATAGACACAGGAAATCCAGTTACTGAATACCGTCTATGGAGGTCATCCAAGATTCATAGAACCATAGTTAGATATAATAAGTAACTCCACCAATGTAAACATTTGTATGTGAATGCATTTTGGCAATGTTGGTCTGTTGGTCCACCACTCTGGTCGACACTGAAGTATCTCAGTAACTATTATATGGAATGAGATTTAGTACAATTATTCAAGGTGCCCAGACTAACAGTCATCTAACACCATCATCTGCTCTAAATTAATTTGTCCAATACTTTTGTTTATGACCAAACGTGCTAAACTAATGACTAATTCCCATGAGCCCCAGCTGTATTTTGTGTTTCGTGCTAAATAGCATAAGTTAGCATGCTCTCATACTAAGCTAAGATGGTGGACGAGGTAAACATTATAGATAAAAAAGATTAGTTAGTTAGCATTATCATTGTGAGCATATTAGCATGCTAAGTACAACGTCACAGAGCCACTAGCATGGCTATAGACTGTTAGCATTGTTTGTGAACATGGCAGTGTTGGTGTCGTGGCCTTTTCCAGTTGTGGTTTCTCAGTTTAGTTTTGCATTTGCCATTTCACGCATTTCAAAAACAAAATACTGTTTACTGCTTTCCTTCATCTATATTCACATTTCAGTTATGGCTTTATTGTGACCAGAGGAGCAGAACTGTATTGAATTTGTATATGTAGACGTTTAGAGTTTCCCCCTTTCACTTATACAGCCAGAGTTTTTCATCACAGCAGCATCTAGTGGACATTAGAGGAACTGCGGCTGAACACACTTCTGCTCTGACTACAACACTCAGCTGCAGATTGATTGATCAACACAAACAGGAAACAGGAAGTAAGAGGTTTGTCAGCATGTTTTAATCAGATTAATGCGGATCAGCAGGTCAGTGATTTTTTTTTTACAAAATAAAATCCCATAATTCAACAGGAACAATGTACAAGAAAAGAATCTTTAGAAAAATCTTTGTCTCATATCTTTAAGTCTCATATATTAAAGCACCATCAACCACAGTGGTCATCATTATATTAATATGTATACTTACATTCAAATGTACCATGATAGAGATTTATTAGGCACCATGTTGATATAAATAAAGTTTTTACTACAGCAAAGGTAAAAAAAACATGAAGGATGATAGAAAATTGGAGAAAGCTCTAAAAAATGTTGTAAATATAACAATCAAATATGTACACAGTGCGTGTGTGTGTGTGCGTGTGTGTGTGTGTTCAAACAGCATTATTAGTGTTGTTGTTATTAATCTCCATCCTGCTGATCAGTTCAGTTACCAGCTGCTGCACAGTGTGAGAGCGCAGGCGGCCGACCTCCAGGACGCCTTCATGGTTCACGCTGTCTGAGTCCTCATAACTCTTCACCACCTGTCACAAATCAATCAATCAATCAATCAATCAATCAATCAATCAATCATCTACAAAGCTGACCCCAGCAGGTTCATTTGATCAAAATCCATCAATACATTGCTGTATTGATCGGTGTGTTTACCTTGTTGGTGATCAGAGAGAGGCCAAAGACTCTCAGACCGCAGTGAGTTGCCACGACGACCTCAGGAGCCGTACTCATACCTGTAAACACACGACACCTGAAGTTACTGAGATAGTTCACAACAGTACTGCTAATACTGCTGCAGATAGTACTGTGAATAAGTACATTTACTCAAGTACTGTACTTAAGTATTTAAAGGTACTTTGAGTATTTCCATTTTGTGGTGCTTTATATTTCTACCCTACTACAGACTACATTTCAGAGGGAAATATTGGACTTTATAACTACATTTATCTGATAACTCTGGTTTCTGTGTGTGTGTGTCTTACCGACAGCGTCCACCCCGAGTCGATGCAACAGTCTGGCTTCAGCGATGCTTTCAAAGTTTGGCCCACCCACCATTGCGTACACGCCCTCCTGCACGAGGCTGGCCACGCCCAGCTGCTTGGTGATCTCCATCGCTATGGAACGCAGGCCTTTGTCATAGCAACCTGACATGGCGGGGAAACGAGGCCCAAACCTGTAAACAACAAGTAATAAATAACATGACAAAAATACAACAAAGCATCAAACTTTAATACTTTGTAACTATGACGACTGAGTTAACAAACAATATTAGTCTTACCAGCAACAGTGTAACAAATAGTTACACAAAAGACAAACAATTAATTTAAAATCAACAAAAATAAATAAATAAATAAGAGCTTCATCATAAACATGAAACAACAATAAACAATAACAAAAACAACACATAGCCAGGTATCTGAGTTACTTGTCGTCGTTGGGTCCGCACAGCGGGTTCAGACCGACCAATCCTGGGAAGTTGACGTGGTCTTTGATGATCATGATGTCACCGGGCTGGAGGCCGTCGGCCAATGAGCCGGCAGCATTCGTCACAATCAGAGTCTCCACCCCCAACAGCTTGAAGACTCGGACTGGAAACGTCGTCTGAACAGACAGACAGACAGACAGGTTGGTAAACATTTGTCTCTCAAACATGAGAAGCTTTCTGTAAAGATTTGTTGTTATGGAGACAGTGGTTCTTCATGTGATGCAGGAAATCCCACAATGCTTTTTTTTATCCTCCTAAAAAATATCTTGTGATTTTACTCTTAATTCTGTGTCTTTTTGCCCTGAATGCAGCCTTCCAGGTAGAACTTCCTTTAGGTCTGTGTGCAAGTCCTGCTTCCAAAAAAGAATCTTCTGATGTGTCTGTATAATAGATTGTGTTAGTTCAGTGTGTAGTGTAGTTTTATTGTGAAGGCGCCTCAATAAAGCGCCAACTAAAGGACAGTCAGGTATTTTCTTAGCATGACACACACAAGACTATGTGCGTGTGTGTGTGTGTGTGTGTGATATAGAGGGAAACAATAGCAGCATTCAACAGACTGCTAAAAGGCTGCATGTGACCGAACCCATGCATGACCTAAGCTGGTTTCAGAAACACACACACACACAC